TAGATGGTTTAGTGGGTGGCCCTGATGTCCCAATACCTGGCCTTGTGTTGCTGCCCTGCTGTTCCATGAGCTCCTTACTTCTCCCCTCTCAATGTCCCTGGTGGCATGGCAAGCTTCAGTCTGAGTGGCTTTGTTCCCAAGGAAAGAGAGAAGGATTTTCCTTGCATTACACCCTTGCATACTGTCCAACCCACACCCAGAGTGTCCCATTTTGAAAGGCAGCCTGTTTGCATCCCACCTGCCGGCAGAGCCCGTGTTTGCATCCTCACAAGGTCGTACTGATATTCCACATCGTGTGGTGAGCGGCTGTGTGTAGCCCCGCGGCTGGCCCGGAAACCCTCTTGCGTTGTGAGCAGAAGCACAGCTCCGTAGGCACCGTGGCACCCTTACGTCACGGGAATCCCGCTGTGCAGTGTTTTATCAGCCCTGTTTGATCACAGATACTTCCACTCCGCAGCTTTTATTCTGCTAGCCTATGTAGGGGCTGGAGTCCAAAGTCCTAAATCCAGGCACCAGTGCATGGGGTAAAACATGACCGAACATCCAGAAAATCTCATCAGAGCAAAACGTGTGGCAAAAAGACTTCCCTACAGGTCTGTTGCCTGTGGTGAAAAGTTGGCTGTTCCCTGACACAGACTCACTGCCCTCCACCAAGATGCAACCCCAGGAACAAAAATGAAGGGTCATGAAACACTGTGGGTTTATACTTGTTTCCAGCCCATAGAAATGCTGGAGCTCTGCAGAAATCAGAGCCAGTGTAACAAATGAAAGGTTACAACGAAGTTACCTCTGGCTTCTGACCAGTGAAGTAAGAATGCAAAGGATTTCCAGAATCCTTCGTCCTTTTTAAAAGGACATGAGTGAGATAAAAGCAATCCTATACTCCCTGTGCTTTGACTCGCACCTGAGCTTATTAAACTTGCATTTTAAAATTCCAAGGAAACTTTCCACTATTTCCTTTTTGCATTTCACTCTTCTTGGAAAGCAAACCCAAACTGGCCTTTGCATGCGGGATCATTTATTTATAGTCCTGTTTCCCCTCCTAGGGCTCCAGCACCACTTGTGTTTAGGTTTCCAGCACTACAAGGGAATGTTTAAAACATACTGTTTTCACTGAAACAATACTGGGTTTTGTAACCTTTTCTTTTTTTTTTTTTTTTTAAGCAAATCTTAAATTATTTTGGCCTAAACGCCTTGCCAACCTCCTCTAAACAAAGCGCAGGACAGGAATGCACATGCAAGGCTTGGAAAGGCACCCCAAAAGCATCTGGAAACGTTGGGTTTTGTTCCGCTGCCTGTTTTGTGTGATCACGTGCAGTTTCTGTTTGCTGCCAGACTCCAAAAGGGATTGATTCAGCTAAAGGGGAGGGAAACGAGAGACGTTTTAAGCGGCATAAGGCTGGATTCACCCAGCAGGGAGCTGGTTGAGCGCTGTGCATGAGGTGGTCAAGGGAGGCAGTGCCAGGAATGCCTTAGCGGAGCTGCTTTCCAGTGCTGCCCTGGGAAATAGGCTTGCAGAGAGAACTGAGCCTAAACTCCCATTGTGCCACCCCCCGCGTTGGCTGCTTGGAGTGTGGGTTCCCGTTGCATCCAGGATAAGCGAGCCACAATATCCTGCTTTCCTTGACTCACGCTTGCAGCTGGTACTTCAGGCACTAGGGAACTCAAACGGACACTCAGGGCAAAGTGTGCGCCTGCAGGGGGGAGCAGCACTGAGCTGGTGAGATTTTTGCATCATCCCCATGTCTTGGGAGTAACGGGAATCCAGCTGGCTAAAGGGAATGGGCTGTGGGTCCCTTTGCCTCTGGGTCACTAGTGCCTGCTGCTCAGACTGGCAGCTATCTGGAAGTCCTTCATAACTTGTAGTGGCATCTGGTGGGTCTTAGTCCAAATCTGGCAGCCACACATCACTAAAAGCACTGCTGGCATTGGTGCAAAGAGACTGAGGTCTGGCTCGGCCCTGGACAATAGACTTCCTTCACTGACTGTTAGGCTCCTGCAGCTTAGAGAAGAGCATGAGACCAGCATCTGTGTCAATTCACTGGCGACATCCAGTTGCTGACGGAGGGAGTTTTCAAGATGTGTATATGAAACCTGCTCACTCCCAACTGTGTATCAAGTGACCTCCGATTAGCTGCCCGGGCCCTTGCTGTACTTGTGTGGCATCCAGGTGCAGACAGGACTCGTTGCCACACAGTTCTGACACAAGAAATGAGGCATAAGTTAGCCTCAGAGGTGGCAGATTGCACCTAAAAGCAGGGCTCTAGGCTTACCCAAAGTCACCGTGCACAGCTGGCACATGCTTCGACTGATGTGTGTACTCCCCACAACGCCCAAGAGCAATCAGTCTCATGAAATAGTCATCAAAGCAACCCAGGCACCAGTACACTTGCCTGCCCCTAACTGCGGTTGTTGATGAGAATGAATGAAAAACAAAGGATCATCTTTTTGACCAGGAAAAGCAGGTACTTGCTCTGGGGTGGGAGAGGAAGCTGCATTTTGTCCTTCAGGGCAGCCAGGTCCCAGCATAGACACTTAAACCTCTCACACAGGCCTTTTGGCTCCTCAGTGCTGCTTGGAGCGCTCAGCTGAAGCACCCAGGCATGCGGAGCCAGGAGCCAAAGCCTTGCTGATGCAGTACAAGGCTGCTCTAGTAGCTCTGAAGCAAGTCTGGTACCCACATAACAGGCCAGAGGCTGATTAGGGTTTTGCCTGGTTCTTTTCACACGTTTCCCTGTGATACCCTTATCTCCATGCAGCTTTATGAAAGCAGTGAGGCGGCGGCAGGCAGGCCAGAGGTTGGCAGGCGCTGTTCCCAGCATTAATGGAGCCGCTAGAACGTGCATTGTGTCAAGGTGCTTGGTACAGGAGATCAGGTGATCGATAGCTGCTTGAGAAGGCTCCTTTGTACCTTGTTCCTTCCCGGCCCCGCGTTTCCCCCCCGTCTTTCCAGGCTCTTGAGATGTCCATGGGCGTGGGTGCCTGGCTTTTGAGAAGTCAGGGCCGGAAGGGAGTTTGAATGCAGCTGAGGGGACCCTCAGCAGGGAACCCAGCACAGGGCTGGATGCTGAACCACCGTGATTTCATGAGAGGGGTTTCGTTTCCCAGCGAAGGTTTCATAGTTTCATAGTTTCTAGGGTCTGAAGGGACCTGAGCAGATCATCTAGTCCGACCCCCTGCCATGGCAGGAACAGCACTGGGGTCAAATGACCCCAGTAAGGTGGTCATCCAACCTCCTCTTAAAAACCCCCAGGG